AGGCTTATATGAATTCAAACTCCCGTTAATCATGACCCAAAATTAATTTGCAAGAATGACTCATTTTGCAAAAATGGCCGATATGGCCAGAAGTGGCTAAAGATGCAAACTCAAAAAGGACGGACCTTAAAGAAATATGACACCTAGTTGTGGACTCAAAATCCTAAGACATGGGTTATTGAACCACTTTTGCGAAAATGACCCCATTTTGCAAGAATGGCCGATGTGGCCAAAAGTGGCTAAATATGCAAAATTTGGCTAAGACCCCGCAAAACCAAGAAGCTAAGACTTACTAGGAAGACCGAACCCTATGTGGGCTGCCTATGTATCCTACCCCGAAAGACGAGAATCAGGTATGCGTAGTTCAGGAAGATTGGACATGGGAGAAAACTTTTAAAAAAAATGATACTAATTTGGAAAAAATATATATTTTTTATTTTTTTGAAAAATGATGGAAAATGTAAAATATTTTTGGATTTTTGGAAAATGATGGGAAGGTGTAAAATCTTTTTGGATTTTTTTTTTTTGGAAAATAATGGGAAAGTGTAAAATCTTTTTGGATTTTTTTTTTTTGGAAAATAATGGGAAAGTGTAAAATCTTTTTGGATTTTTCATTTTCATTTTTTTCTGTCTTTTTTTTTTGAAAAAGTAGTGAAAGAACAATATAACTGGGCCCTACTTGCTTCATCTTTCACCTTTCTTTCCCAAACATCGGTCTGCCAAATGACCTTTTTACCCTCAAAGATGCAACATGTATCGCATAGAGATGATTGAATATCATTTTGGGCCATGAGCCCATTTTGACAAAATTTGAATAGGCTTCCTACAACGGACATGGTGCCTGGGACCGAGCCCTACTAGGTCCAAATGACATGATGCAAATAAGAATGACCTAAAGGCTGATCTAAGTTTGGGGTCACTAACAAGGCAATTCGGGGCGGCACATGGTCGATGACAATTTATAAAGCAGTAACACATAAGGAAAAGCGATAAACAAACAACCAACAAAAAAACAAATAAGACAAACAAACCAAACAAACAAAGCAAATAAAGAAAACAGACACTTCAACGGAACATCCTAAAAGCCAACAAGATCAAGTATCAGCTCGAACCTGCAAGTCCCCAGCGGAGTCGCCAGAGCTGTCACACCCCTTTTTTACAAACCTCACTAACTCTCTTAAAAATAAATAAAAGATTTAGTAAAGCTCGAAAAGGGTTTTCAATTAGAAAGTGACAAAAATTTGTATTTAAAAGGATTAACTCAGAGTCGCCACTTGACATTAGTTTCGGTATGCCAGGTCACCATTTTTTTAAGAAATAAATTTTCCTTTTAAAACACTTTGGACTTCGAAACTAAGTCGGCACCAGAGATTCGGGTAAAGGGGTTCATTTGACTCGGGGAGAAGGTGTTAGGCACTCCCCAAGTCCCATGAAAGTCACGGTTGCGTACTCGATCTAGTTGGTTTTTAAAATATTCAATTGAGGTAATAAACATAGAAAAGGGAAAGCAAACACGAGACAGGCTCGAGGTCGTTCCCGCATAATAAAAAAAAAATACTACGAATTCCACTTTGGGCCTCCAAATACAAGTACTTCGGAGCATACCCCTAATAAAATATATACAAATTATGCGAGGCATTCCCCGGATAAATTTAACTAAGGGAACGACTTCTCGCCTCAAAACTAAAAAAAAAATACTAAGCTTGCCTACCCAAGTGAGGTCGGCCTAGGCATGCCCCTAACGATTAATTTAACTAAAAGAGATAAAACAACGTAGAATCCATGCAATATCCAAAGTTTTTTGGCTTCAACACATAAAAAAAAGTTCCATTGTTAATTAAACCAAGACCAACACGTGTTATGCACATTTGGTATTTCCCTGCCCATCTGCTTTAATAATTCATGTCACTAGAATTTATCCTACTTCAATTCTTACCCAACAAATACAAATAGGAACGAAGCAAACATACAATTCATAACTAAACATTTATCACATGAATTTCAAGTAGTAAGTAAACTAGGTACAAATAAGCATAGTAGAAAAATTAATTAAAATAAGTGCTGAAATAATGTCAAATTTAGGAGGAGAAAGAGAAGTGGACCTCGATTAAAGTGGGGACTTCTCCAATTTTAATTAAGAACTCAGCAAGATGTACAACAAATAATCCGCTCCAATTGAATTATGAGTGAACCGTAACCGAAACTCGGATCCGTAACCTCGAACGACGACCTCACTAGGAACTCGGCTGCAAGTAAACTTATTTTTCCACCATCTCGCGATTACATATATCTTGCTTCTTTAATGTTTGATTAAAGTGACTTATAATGTTTAATCGCTTCAACTATCCCCTGTCCGTTTTTGATTCCCTTTTTCCCTTTATCTGCTTCAATTACCCATCAGTTGGTATAAAGACCACATCCTAAAAAAAAATCCTTCATATTGTAAATAGGAACCAAAGTCAAAAAAGCACTGGAAATTCAAGCCGGTTTCATCCCTTTTGTTCGTTCCTTTCTGCTAGTGCAGATTGTATCTCCTTTCCGTTATATGTGTGCGCTTGACTCATAAAATTAGGGGGGTCCGGCTGTTTTGGGGTTAAAGTGACGGTTGATGGGAGTTTTAGGGTTTTGGGGTTGAAAAATGGAGAAGAAAGGTGTTGTGCGGCTGATTCATTTTTTTGGGGTGTTAGTTTCGTGGCCTCCAGAGTTTAAGGTCTTGTGTGTTTATAAAGAAGAAAGGTTAGGGTGTAAGGGTTAATTGGGCCAAGAAGATTGGGCTTGGAAATTTTACAAAATTGGGCCAAGAAAAGGTTAAAATTCAATTTAAATACGTACGAAAACTCTTAATTGATTTTAATAAATTATTATATTTAAAAGTAAAACTAAAAATTAAAGTTAAAACTATTTTTGATAGTTTCAAAGATGATGTTAAAATAAAATAGATTCAAAGTAATATATCCTTCTAAAAATATCTAACACATGAATTAAATAGGGACATATGGAACTATTTTTTGTAATTTTCAATTTTGTGATAAAAATAATGTAAAAGAGTCAAACTTAATTGAAATAACTATATTAGACCTAAACTAAGTATTTAAATGCTAAAATATGTAAAATCTTGGGAATGGTCGAAAGTCACATGTCTGCACTTATAGCTCTGGATCACCCTAGGATATGGTTCAACTGTCAAATCCTAATAGGCGACCAACTATGTGTTCATGTCAAATATAATCGACCATTGAATGACCTAAGAAACTCTTTTCTTCTTTTATTCAATTGCCCTGGCCAAGGTTTTAATTTGGTCATTTATAATTCATGACAACATGGAGCTTAAACTCATTACCAAGAGTTGACAGATTTCATCTTGATGAATCACTAATTCTACAAGTATTCCATCGTACCCAATATCCTTTCAACTATCGCCCTAAGGCCAAAGATGTCTAATATTAAAGCACAACAAATAACTTATCAATTATTATGACAATCTCAGGTCAAAGGAAATTCTTACATCACATTCTTCAAGAGAATATCTTACTGACAGTTTATGATAATTCTAACCATTAGGAATTATCCAATAAGCCGGTTCAATGAATCATATCTCTATATGCATCATCTATCTATGTGATTTAATTAATGAGATCAACTAATCTTTATCCCATAAATACGATCACATAAATATTGATCTAATCGGATTACTAGTGTCTAAATTAATAATCCTACAATCAAGAACAAATTTAAATTAAATTGTAAGAGACTTTGCTCTCATTATCATAATCTCTATCACGATGACAAGTCTCAAAATTTAATTAAGGACCTTATCAAGTTAATCAAACAATTAATAATAACTATGATAAAAGAATGCCATATATTTTTATATCGAATAACGTTCACAAAAATATGTTCACATCATCAAATATGAGATTGGCTAGAGCATATATACTATATCCCTAACGACAATTTCAAACAAGACACCACTAAATTTGACACCACTTGATATAATTGTACTTCATCTAAATGGCAAAGTTAGGCGGGGATAATGTCATAGAGAAAGAATTATTGAATATGACAACTTATTAATTAGACACCTCAACCTGAAATTAGTTGATGTCATCCTTATGAACCAATTATATATACCATTATATACTTTTTTTTAGGGTTATTTCATTTCTACAAAAATAAATAACTCGGAGTTTCGAATAAAATTCTTCAAAATCACAGTTATTCTTTATTAAGATACAATATTAAACATATCTTGCATAATAACAAAGGGAGTCCTGGAGCAACGGTAAAGTTGTCTCTGTACGATCTATAGATCACGGGTTCGAGTGTGGAAGCAACCATTAATACTTGTGTTAGGGTAGACTGTCTACATTATAAACGTTATGATACAACCCTTTTCCGGACATTGCGTGAATAGAAAATACCCTGTGTACTGCACTACCCTAATTATCTTGCATAATAACAACTAAACCATTATATTTATCACAAAGGTTTAAATTCTAAAAATATAAATAATCACCAAATGTTGTGGTGAAATCTCTTATATGACGAAAGGTTGCTTTCAAGCTCTAGGAAATAAAGTTGGCAGGAGAGTTTTACTTTTAAAAGTGGACTTTCTAAAGAATTCAAACTAATCAAGCTCGATAAGTTTGCTTTCAAGCTCTAGGAAATAGAGTTGGCAGGGAGCGCTTTACTTTTAAAATGGACTTTCTAAAGAATTCGAACTAATCAAGCTCAAAAGTAAAAATCGAATAATAGTGTTTGTGAAAATATCCAAAGCATTTTAAATCAAGATGAATAAAACTTAAGGAAAAAAACCATTAAATAGTTTTCAGAATATTCTTCTAGATTCTTCCTGCCTCAAAAACTCTGAGCCCACCTCCAATCACATTGTAGAGTAGACTAGTACCAGTAGACATCTTGGACCATTGAAAACACAAAGTAAAAAATAAAAATAAAAATAAAAATAAAAGAGAAAGGTGAAAAAGCAAAACAAACAAACAAAAAGGAACCTGAATTCCTAAATAGAGTCTGAGAGTGAGTCAAAAACAGAAACCCACAAAGAAACCACCATTTTTAGGACTAGAAAAAAGAAAAACATACGCGTGCTCATTAAGCCAAATTCTTCTTCAAACCCTTTGTAGATCTTCACACAGTGACCTTCTTCAGATCTACACTCTCAGCACCATCTCACACATTGTCTTATTTTCTGGGTGTAACCAAAAAATTCAAGAATTCAACATTCCCATATTTATTTTGCTATTTACAACAACCCCCCCTTTTTTTCCAGATCTATTAAAAAAAATTAATAATAATTAATAGTTATAGTAATAGATAGTACTAGACACGTTAACAATGCAATCGGGAAATGCCACGTTGGTTCCGGAGAAAATGCACGGCGGTGGTGGAGGAGAGGCGGTGGCACCACCGCCACATCAGCAGCAGTGGTTTATGGGTGATGAAAGGGATGGGTTTATATCATGGTTAAGAGGTGAATTTGCAGCAGCAAATGCTATAATTGATGCTTTGTGTCATCATTTAAGGTTAGTAGGTGAGCAGCCAGGTGAATATGATGGTGTAATTGGATGTGTACAACAAAGGAGAGGGAATTGGAGCACTGTGTTGCATATGCAGCAGTACTTTTCAGTAGCTGAAGTGATCTATGCATTGCATCAGGTTGAGTGGAGGAAGCAGCAAAAAGGGGGTTTTAATAATAAGAGGAATGGTGGGGGGTCTAGAGGAGGAGGAGGAGGAGGGGGTTGGAGAAGTGAGGGTCATAATTTTTCTATGGATGCTAATAGTAAAGAGTTTTATAGTAAATCGAATGGGGTCGGAAAGATTGATGTTATAGAAAAAGAAATAGATGTGAAGCAAGGGGAGAAGAAAGGTGAGATTATGCAATGCTTGCCATGTTTTCCTTTTTTTATGTATTAGATATGATGGTGTTTATATTTTGTGTTTAAAGGACTATTACTTGGAAATTATTGATTAAAGGACGTGATTCTATGGGGTCTTTAGTGATTACTAAGTTGAAATTGATCATATATTTGGAAAGTCCTTAGTTTAAGTACTATGCACTGGAAGTGTAGAAAAGATTTACACAATCAGGTTACTTAAAAGGAAATTCTATTTGTTAAACAATAATTAGTAAGCTAAAATAAATGATGAGTAATCTGCTATAACACCAGTGTTATTTAACCTTTTGTAGTAGGTAAACTTGCCATATATTGTAGGTTACCAATGACGACAACAACAACAACAACAACAACCCAGGAAAATCCCACAAGTGGGGTCTGGGGAGGGTAGTATGTATGCAGACCTTACCCCTACCCCAAAGGGGTAGAGAGGCTGTTTCCGAAAGACCCTCGGCTCAAGATAATAAGAAAAACAAGAAAAACAAAAGGGGAGAATATTAGTTTCACCATAGAGATCATAGGAAAAATAGAAACCTAAAATGCATAAGAAAAATACAAGGTAGAAATGATGGCTAGTAAATAGATCTAGCACCGAAAAGAGGAAATATTAAGACACGACAATGCCCCTAGTAATTTTCGATTAAAACCTTACCAGACTAGGCTCACAATGGAACAAAGTAACGCAAGACTCAACTAGCTCCTAGCCTACAACTGTAATACTCGACCTCCACAAATTTCTATCAAGTGTTATGTCTTCGGAAATCTGAAGTCTCGCCATATCCTGCCTGATCACTTCTCCCCAATACTTCTTAGGCCGCCCTCTACCTCTTCTCGTGTCCTCCATAACCAGCTGCTCACACCTCCTCACTGGAGCATCTGGGCTTCTCCTCATTACATGCCCGAACCATCTGAGTCGCGCTTCTCGCATCTTGTCATCAATGGGAGCCACGT